CCCATTGACTGGAGACTGAACCTGGAATCAAATCGTCAATGCAGCCCGGCGGCTCTGCAGATGCACCTTTCTCCCCTATCTCCTCACAATCAGGCCCTCATCCCCGAGCGCATAGATTAACAATGCAAATAGCGCTGCTGCTAGTGATATGGATGACACATTTATGCACAAATATGCAAGTGGGCTGATATCGCAGACAAACAAGGAGTGTTTAGGAGAAGGGCACTGGTGCTGTTTGATCAGACAAGATGTGGGTGGAAGGGAGCTTATCTGAAATATCCAAGAAATGAAAACCTTTTTGTGGAATTAACATTCTCAAAATAAGACAAGCAGCTAGGCTCTCCAGAATCCAGAGACACACACCGTTTTAGATATGTTACTTCTCAATGGCAAATAGTTGGTTCCATGGAGTAGCTAGCTTCCTTGAGAATATGTGTGGGTGTATCAGTAGGAGTTTATGAGGGAATATTGGAAGAGTATTTAAGAATTACTAGAGACTATAAGAGACATAAGAGAGAAACCCATAGGCCGGAAGAAAATCTCATATTTGGTGTTCCTCGAATACTGCATAGCCTACAACCAGAGGACAGATATTTATAAACGATCATTATGAAACCATGTACAGTGCCTTCAGAAAGTATTCACACCTCTTGACTTCTTCATATTGTTGTGTTACAGCCTGAATTTAAAATGGATTAAATTGAGATTTTGTATCAATACTCCATAATGTCAAAGTGGAATGCTGTAAAAACATTTTTTTGTACTAATTAAAATGTAAAGGCTGAAATGTTTTGAGTCAAGTATTCAACCCCTTTGTTATGGCAAGCTTAAATAAGTTCAGGAGTAAAAATGTGCTTAACAAGTCACATAAGTTGCATGGACTCACTGTGTGCAATAATAGTGTTTAACATGTACCCAACACATACAATTATCTGTAAGGTCCCTCAGTCGAGCAGTGAATTTCAAACACAGATTCAACCTCAAAAACTAGAGTTTTTCCAATGCTTCGCAAAGAAGGGCACCTATTGGTAGATGGGTCCATAAAAAAAAGCAGACACTGACTATCCCTTTGAGCATGGTGAAGTTATTAGTTACACTTTGGATGGTGTATCAATACACCCAGTCACTACAAAGATACAGGCATCCTTCCTAACTCAGTTGCCGGAGAGGATGGAAACCACTCAGGGATTTCACCAGGAGGCCAATGGTGAATTTAAAACAGTTACAGTGTTTAAAGGCTGTGATAGGAGAAAACTGAGGATGAATTAACAACAATACTAATCTAAATGACAGAGTGAACATAAGGAAGTCTGTACAGAATAAAATATTCCAAAACATGCATCCTGTTTGCAATAAGGCACTAAAGTAAAACTGCAAGAAATATGGCATAGAAATGAACTTTATGTCCTGAATACAAAGCGTTATGTTTGGGGGCAAATCCAACACAACACATCACTGAGTAGCACTCTTCATATTTTCAAGCATGGTGGTGGCTGCATCATGTTATGGATATACTTGTCATCGGCAAGGAATAGGGATTTTTTGGTGGGATAAAAATAAACTGAATAGAGCTAAGCACAGGCACAATTGTAGGGGAAAACCTGGTTCAGTCTGCTTTCCAACAGACACTGGGAGACAAATTCACCTTTCAGCAGGACAATAACCTAAAACTCAAGGCCAAATATACACTAGAGTTGCTTACCAAGATGGGACATTGAATGTTCCTGACTTGAAAATCTATGGCAAGACCTGAAAATGGCTGTCTAGCATTGATCAACAACCAACTTGACAGAGCTTGTAGAATTGTTTTAAGAATAATGTGCAAATATTGTACAGTACAGGTTTGCAAAGCCTTTAGACTTACCCAGTAAGACTCACAGCTGTAATCACTGCCAAAGGTGATTCTAACATGTATTGACTTTGACTTTGGTTTACTTTCTGAATTGACTAAAATTGAAATGGAATGGACCGAAATTGAAATGGAATTGACCCTAACCCTTTTGCTAGCCTTTAAAGCCATCTGAAACTCAACATTTTGAGGTCTATTGCATCAATGTAGAAAACCAGTTGCCAGTATGTTTCTCCTTGTCCTTGGAGTTGACATGTGATTGAACAAAGAACGGCAAATTCTGAGTTGGTTTTCATTCTTGTTGGTCACAATTTGTCATTTCCACACATTTCCCAGCTAACTGACTCCCTCTAGTGGAGAGCACATATTTCCCCAGAGGGCCCGAAAGTCTTCTGTGGTCTGATGCATTGCCCTCCACATACGTATGGTCTCGGTTGTCCTGCTTCATAACAACAGGAATGTCATGGTTAGAAGGACACTAATGGCTGGTACGAAGAATAATAACAGAAAATAAAAGGTTTTATATTGTAGCAATGTTTTATTAACATTGCATGCCCTCCATGAACTCTTGATCCTTCCTTCACTGATCCTGCTGTGTTCAGCACTCCACTTCAGTTCATATAAAGTTGGGTGAAATGAAGGCGAAATACCCAGTAGTCATCAAATTCTGCTTAGCCTTCCACATCCTCTCCAGCCAGTCTGCATCCACCCAGCTGATTGGTGTCACTAACTAAGCCTCTACTACAGTCTGACAAAGCGCTCTGTCACATGGTGGGAGGAGCACTGCCTCCAGGGGCCTACAGCTGTGGCTGGATACCCATGCCTGCCTGCACCACCAGGCTGGGAGGGAGGTGGACCAGGCTGGGGGGGAGGTGGACCAGGCTGGGGGGGAGGTGGACCAGGCTGGGGGGGGAGGTGGACCAGGCCAGGCAGGGGGGAGGTGGACCAGGCCAGGCGGTGGGGGGAGGTGGACCAGGCCAGGCGGTGGGGGGAGGAGGTGGACCAGGCAGGGGATTGCCCTGGAGCAGTTCCCTTCTGCACTCGCAAGGAAAACAGATTTAATCATATCTTCTTTCCCGCTCTACAAGTACAGCTGCTGCCCTCAGCATTTTGATCTGGCAACACGAGCAGGTTTACAGCTGCTGTACTGTGGCCATGGTAGATGACTGCGTGCCTAGGCCAAAGTCTGACTCTTCCTATGGGGATTGTCAGGTTTCAGAAATGCTATGACAATGGCATAACTCAATGCACACATAACATGCCAAGTGTGGCCCTTTTCTGGATAACTCATGAAATGCAAGTTCCCCACCCACACCACACCACTGATAACACAGACGCAAACAATTTACATTTTAAAGTTATTTTTAATATTCTTTGCCTTAATCGTGAATTGGGAATAAACCGTTTTCAGATCTGCAATACATTATATTACATTAGACAGCAGATACACACTGTACATGAGAAGCTGCTGCTACATGATTCTGTCAGCCATCCTGATGGAGTGACTATTAAACAATAGTCACACACATCTTCATTCTTGTGCGTTTTATTTCATGTGTTTTTTTATTTTCTTATTTAACTCTGCATCGTTGATTAAGGGCTTGTAAGTAAGCAGTTCACTGTAAGGTCTACCCCTGTTGTATTCGGCGCAGGTGACAAATTAACATTTGATTTGACGAGAGATTTAAACCGAAACAAAAAAAATAGTGTTCAAGTATTTGATATACAGTACAAGCAGTGCAACTTAAAATAAAATTTACTTTACATGGCGCAACTTAAATCATGACTGATTCTGTGCATGTTAAACCAAAAAAGGAAGACGAAGGATGAAATAGAATAGTGATGATTTCTCAACTTCATCCTACGACTTGTTGTTCGTAAGCACTACTACTACATAGTTTTGATGTCTTCACTATTTTTCTACAATGTAAATCATTTTTAAAATAAAGAAAAACCCTTGAATGAGTAGGTGTGTCCAAACTCTTCACTGGTAGTGTATATAAAAGTGTAATATTAGGATGCAAACTCAAAATGTAATACATTTAAACTCTATATCTGAGCTGGGCCTCCAGAAGGATAACTATAGTCTGGTCAGCACTTCCTTTACACAATGCATGTCAATCCCACTTAAATCAGATGCAAATCAGATGAGATCATAATTCAGCTGGAAAAGGATTACAGGCATGAAAGGGTTCCTCAAAAGAAAAGAAAAAAAGTCAATCCAAAGACTAATCTATGCAAGAACCTAATATTGAACGTCAATGTTTCAGTCATAGCCTCTTGATAAAAAGATATTATCTACATTTAACATTTCTGTTGCATCTTTCAACAACAAAGTAAAATGGAGACAAAGAATAACTGTTCAACAGAAGAAAAACATGATTTCTTCCTGAAATAAGGACTGAGATTAACATATTATGATTAATGTTACTAGGAAACCAGGCACCATTTACCAGAGGGTGGTGCGGTCTGCCCAACCATCACCGGGGGCTCACTGCCTGCCCTAGAAGACACCTAGAGCAGCCGATGTCACAGGAAGGCCAAAACGATCATCAAGAACATCAACCACCCGAGCAATGGCCTGTTCACCCCATTACCATCCAGAAGGCGAGGTCAGTACAGGTTTTGAGAGAAGTTAAAATTGACAAATAAATAGCAATACATGGCAGTGAAGAGTCCAAAAGGCACACAACAAAGGATAGAGACGTAAACATGATGAAGACAAGGCAGCGAGCAAGATCGGCACAAACAACAATTATTGCAGCATGCTTTAAAAAGCCCCACGCGGGGGAATGAAAATTGAATTAGGGATTATCAAATTGGCAAACAGAAAGAAAAAGGGTGAAAAAACCTTATGAAAAGAAAGATGAGGAAAAGAAGAGCGAGAGCCAAAAACACTCCTGTATCCACAAGCACAGCGTCATACAATGCAATCGCTCAAACTCAGAAGACGATGCAGCACCATGCATTCCACAATGCAATTTGGTTTCAAAGAGGTTATGGACCCATCAGGCGTCAGAGAAAACTACTTCTCTAAAGGAAAATAAGAGATGTAAGCTGATTCTGAAGTCCTCTGTCTCTGGCTTATGAGGTACATAACATGTAGAGATTGACTGAGTGTATTTAGTGTGCAGCGCGTTCAGCCTGCGGTACAGTAGCTAGCATGTTCTTAGCTAATTTTGTCTTATAAACAATGAAAGATTATTGCAGGTTGCACTTGGCAGTCCAGCGCTCCTTGTACACTGAGCAGAGTGGTACTCTGTGTGGCTGCTGAGAGGGACTAGAGAGCAGTGTAGAAAGTCTGGAGGAAGTAGGCAGGGCTAAGGTGACCGTCGGGTGGTGGTTAGTGGGTTTGGGGTTGTGACGATGGGGACTGACACAGGAAGTGGTCACCAGTAGAAGGAGCGGGACAGGAAGTTGGCGGCGGTGCCGAGCCAGCCCGCGCCATCTGTGATGGAGCCAACGCGCGTCACGGCCTTGTCCTGCTCCTGAGACGGGCTTTCCTCCTCGGGGAGGTAGTCTGGGATGTCCACGTTGTGCTCCACCACCACCGCCTCTGCACCCTCCTGGAATGGGAGCATCAGCTGGGGGGGGGGGGGGGGGAGAAAGACAACAAGGAATAGTTCAGAATCCCTGCCTAGTGGCAAACTGCTTTGATAAAAATGTATTAAATAGTGCAGACAACAAAACCAAGATCAGGCAACCTCAAGCTTCTCGACCTCTCCAGTGCCATGTCTGAAACATAAGTGAACCAGCTCTGCTCCCTGCTGGACAGCAGTGGAACAGCAGCTGCCCCAGTCTACCATCATAGTGACCAGGGGGAGGGGAGCAGTGGTCTAGTCTACTTTAACAACTTCTGTTGGGTCACTGTCTCCTCAGATGTATTCCTTGTGTTACTATTTTTTAAAATCCTATTATCATCATTATGTATTATTTTATTGTATTCTGCATTGTTGGGAAGGGCCCGTAAGTAAGCGTTTCACTGTTAGTCTACACCTGTTGTTACCAAGCATGTGACAAATAACATTTGATGGGGGCAAGGGTTTGATGGGGGTTGGGTTTCCCATAGATACATGGTGTCGTGACACACTGCTCCCAGGGCATGCTGGGATTGGTCATGTGACTAGGCGGTTAGTAACGCCCTCAGGGCAGAGAGATATGACCAGCTAACGGTGTCACTCCAAATAACTACCATCCCCAGCAGACAGAGACACAGAAGCATCTCCAACAATATGGGTTGGCAAAGAGCTCTACAATACCTACTCCCACTGGGTGTGGACCTTTTGAGTTAGAGAATGAACCACAGCACCCTAATATAACCCACCACAAAGACTTGCCCTGTCAGGTAAGAGGGCCGGTCACGATTTAAATTTACCTTTTTCAGCCTGGTTTTAATCAATTCTTTGACAGTTATTTAGCTTGGCCTTTAAACAATGGTTTCACTATTATTTTACACATGTTTTTTTATTCATCTCTTATTGCCTTCAGGTTACATTTTTTCATCTCCTTCATTTTACTATGAAGTGTTGCGATTTCAAATGCACTTTAAATAAAGTTTAGTTTGATTTGAGTACTATCCCTCCCCCTCCCTCCCTCCCTCCCTCCCTCTACTCACCTCTCCTCCATCCTCTCCCTTCAGCACCTGTGAAGCCTTCATCACCTTGGTGGAGTTGATCGCCGTGCCCAGTGCCTGAGGAACACAAAGATGGGTGGTCTTGGTATAACAGATTTGTAACCAAAATAACTGATGTTTTAAACTCTTCTTCTCTGCCCAGAGTGCAGTGTTTAATGGATGGGGCGCCTGTGTGTTCAGACTCACCTCAGCCTTGATGTCAGAGCGGATCCTGACCACACATCTCTTCACAGCCATCTGGAAGGTGAAGCTGATCACCCCTCGGATCTTCAACAGGGCCTCCTCACAGAGACTTCTACGAGTCTGAGAGATGGAGGGAGAAACAAACCAATGAGAGGAGTAAAGCTAATTTAGCTCAATATTGACCTTCTATTCAGATGAAGAGGTTTCATGTTCATTTACAGCAGCAACATAACAATCAACATGACATTTCAAAAGAGCTCATCTCTCATTGTCCTGTGTGTGTCGAGATATGAGTTGTGTGTCACTGAGTCTGTCGTTCTGTCTGTCTGGTGTAATGTGATCTGGCGCAGGTGCAGCTCTCCTGTGGTGTAGTGCTCAGGTCTGATCTCAACACCCTGCTGTTCAATGGCTGACATTTACAACACTGACCTACACCACCTGACAACCTGCGTTAACACTGTGGTCACCATGACAACAGAGCGACAATATGCCTGTCTCAGGGGTTCTAGTGGTGGTGACAAATCGACTGTGTTAGCCTATCACAATAAAGAAGTCTGAGATTTGATTCCTCACCCGTTTTGCTCCCAGTGAGACACATTAAGGTCAGAAGTCATGGAGCAAGAAACCAGTTGGGAATCAAGCCTGAATTTTTGGTTTGGCAAACTGCTCTCGTCAGTTGTGATTGTGTTTGTACAAGGTGGAGACAACACCATCCACTCACTGAGTCGTCCAGGCCGTCGATGTGCAGCACCACAGTCTTGGCCCTCTTGTTGGTGGAGCCCAGGAAGAAGTGGGCCTTGCGTCTGCAGGAGGCGGCCTCAGCCTCAGCCTGCTCTGCCTCATCATTACCAGCTGCCTGCAGAATCTCATATATCTCAGACGCCAGCAGCTTGGTCTCTCCAGGGGAGGTGCTCCTGAGGGAGGGAGAGGGGGGGGGGGGGGGTGAAGGAGAATAGAGGGCGGGGAGAAAGAGCAAGAGGTTTAGTATCAAACATTTCCTTTTCAAATCATTTTGTGGACAGTTCTCTCAGCAAACAAAGGCATACTTGCTGTTGTTAGCGATGTTTTTTATAATTTTTTTAAACCTTGACTTCTTCTTCATGTCAAGTCCTCTCCTCAAATCCAGACAAGGGCAAGATGGTACCAATGAATCCAAGTCAAAAAGGAAGTGGACACAAACAGTGTAAAAAGTATCCATGTCTACTCTGTCTCTATGTGCAACACGACAACGGCGGTCTCCATTACAGTTAGGTGTCCTGTCCTCTGTCCCTGTCTATGTCTCTCTCAGAGCCGACTGGACTGAGTGGTTGATATTTCTAAAGGTCGTCGCTCTGCCAGACAAACTGCACGGTAAGAGAGCTGTTCAGCTGCATGGGGGGGGGGGTCACCTAAGCCTACAGAGAGCCACTGTGACAGGCCTGTCACCACCTAACCTTTCCACTGTATAAATAGACAGCCCTGTTGAAGGAGGAATTACCACACTACAATCATAAAATGGCCATACATTCACAAAGGTCTCTGTTCGTCTAATAATTAGGCTATACTGTTAATGAAAGCATTAGAAGTCTTCTTATTCAACAGAGAACATCAGACAGATCAACATTGAAACAGAGAGATTGATCAGTAAATATGTTAGCATGTTAGCTTGGCTAAGTGCAATGCCTCCTTTGCAAAGAGCATGGCTAGGCTCTAGAGCAGGAATCATCAGCTAGATTCAGCCAAGGGATGATTTCTTCTTGAGCGAATGCTCGGAGGCTGGAACATATTACAAATAATTTGTAGACTGCAAATTAACCGCAAGAAGCCCAAACAGATATAATATTTGACTTAAACATAATATCTCTCTTCTAAAATGGATTAAATAAAAAATGCTCATCAATCTACACACAATACCCCATAATGACAAAGCAAAAACAGGTTTTTAGAAATGTTTGCAAACTATTCTTTTTTTTTTTTACGTACATAATTATTAAGTATTCAGACCCTTTGCGATGAGACTCTAAATTGAGCTCAGGTGCATCCTGTTTCCCTTGATATGTTTCTACAACTTGGAGTCCACCTGTTGTAAATTCAATTGATTGGACATGATTTGGAAAGGCACACACCTGTCTACATAAGGTCCCAGAGTTGACAGTGCATGTCAGAGCAAAAACCAAGCCATGAGGTGGAAGGAATTGTCCGTTGAGCTCAGAGACAGGATTGTGTCGAAGTACAGATCTGGGGAACGGTGCCAAAAAATGTCTGCAGCATTGAAGGTCCCCAAGAACACAGTGGCCTCCATCATTCTTAAATGGAAGAAGTTTGGAACCAATCAAGCATCACGTCTGGAGGAAACCTGGCACCATCCCTACGGTGAAGCATTGTGGTGGCAGCATCATGCTGGGGGGGATGTTTTTCAGTTGCAGGGACTGGGAGACTAGTCAGGATCGAGGGAAAGATGAACGGAGCAAAGTACAGAGATCCTTGATGAAAACCTGCTCCAGAGCGCTCAGGACCTCAGACAGGGGCGAAGGTTCACCTTCCAACAAGACAACGACCCTAAGCACACAGCCAAGACAACGCAGGAGTGGCTTCGGGACAAGTCTCTGAATGTCCTTAAGTGGCCCAGCCAGAGCCCGGACTTGAACCCGATCGAACATCTCTGGAGAGACCTGAAAATACCTGCGCAGCGATGCTCCCCATCCAACCTGACAGAGCTTGAGAGGATCTGCAGAGAAGAATGGGAGAAACTCCCCAAATACAACTGTGTGCCAAGCTTGTAGCGTCATACCCAAGAAGACTTGAGGCTGTAAACGCTGCCAAAAGGTGCTTCAACAAAGTACTGAGTAAAGGGTCTGAATACTTATGTATTTTATTAGCAAACATTTCTAAAAACCTGTTTTTGCTTTGTTATTATGGGTTATTGTGTGTAGATTGATGGGGGGGGGGGGAAACAATTTAATCAATTTTAGAATAAGGCTGTAACGTAACAAAATGTGGACAAAGTAAAGGGGTCTGAATACTTTCCGAATGCATTGTCCTCCTGTGTGAATGGACTGGACAACACTCCAACAAGCTACATGTATCAGTACCAATTTTCATTAGAGGACTCGAAACAGCTTTAAAATCAAATGAATCCCCACACAGTGTGTAACAGCAGAGCCTTGGGACTGGACTGACGTTAACACCAACATAGTGAAACTTCGCTAGCCTGTCCCCCCTTAAGTCTTGTGTTCACACTCTCTCCAGCCATGAACGACCTCTACCCAAAGTCAGGGTGTGTGGAATGGGAGCCGGTGTGACCACAGGGCCCTTCTTGACAGGGCCTGTCACTAGCTGAAGTGGCTGGCTGGTTAGCTCCAGGTCCAGTCGCACAGAGAGTTGGGCCCTAGGAGAAGATCATACAGCCTGGTATGGGCCTGCCAACCGCTGGCACATTTCTATCTTAGTGCCAGTGATAAGCAGCAGTCATAACGCCAAACACCCTCCAGATACTCTCACTAGGAGAGGGAGCACCCAACAACCCTATCTGGAGCATCAAACACCTCTGAAGACTAGAGAGCCCCCTCTCGGTGACCACAATGTGTCGGCCATTTTGATTTAGCAAGGTACCCCAAGGTGGCTCATTCATCTCCTCTCCTCCCCCCTATAACTCATCCCCAGGTCGTTGCTATAAAAGAGAATATGTTCTCCGTCAACTTAACTGATAAAATAAGGGTCAATAAATAAAAACAGAGGGCTTCCTGAATAATAAAGGGTATATAGTAAGGGTAAATTAAATGGTAAATGTTTTAAGCCTGACTAAATGGCATTCAATGGACATGAACATGTATTTATTTGAAGAGACAGACGCAGTGATGAAAGTGTAGACTTAGCTGCTCAGCCCGACATAACAGTCCTCAAGAGAAATACCTGGCAACCCTAACAATGTTCAGCATTTAACAAAAACCAGTGAAGACAGTGACTAGATTAATTGTGATATTTAAAAAAACAAGTGGCAGGTTGCATTAAATCCCTCAACGTGCGGAAACAGCAAATTAATTGTTTACAGGCCCACTTTCATTCAGGATTAATCAAATTCATCCTTACATGTCAACCTTAGACAACCTTCCTGTCCAGAACATTTGCAAACATGCACATATTGCCTGCTGAAAACAAGAGAAATACTAGGATCAGGTTTTAAGTGAAAAGTGCACAGTACGCTTCCGCGTGCGTGTCTGTCTGCTCATTCCGATGCAGTAGCGATGACGGAACTTACTTCTGAATGACATTCTGCAGACTCAGCATCATGCCCAGCTCTCCCTTCATCTTCTCTCTGTTGGTCCGACATTCTGCCAGGTAGCGCACCGCCTGGAAGGACAAGGGAAACCATTACCGCATAAACGGACCTAGCGCTATCACCATCTTTGGTTTTGTGTCTGTGTGAAAGTGTGCAGTGTGTCCCCTAGGATTTTTTTCAGTAGTGGTGGCAAGGTTAGCGGCTGCTGCTCCAGGGGGGGCATTGCTACTAGCCGGGGGGGGGGGGGGGGTTGTTGAAACTCAGACAGGCAAAGACGCATACACACAAACACGCACCACAAACGGCTAAGCAGCCAACCAGCCACTTAGTATTTTGTGTGTGTGTGTTTTGCATAACCAATGCAAACACGCAATAAGTACAGTGTCCAGGTCACCACTAAATAACAACTATTATATAAACCACTCAGATGCGTGTGTGCATTCTTGGAGATGTGCCCGAGAACACTGACCTTCGCACCATCACTCTAACCTGTCCTGACAGCACTGTAAAGCAGGGGGGGGCACATGACAAGAACACACAAACCAGCTCACTTCTAGAGCCCCTCTTGAGAGGACAGCTACATAACCTGTGTAAATAAACTCCTCAGACTGAGACTTGTTATCAAGAGCAGTACGAGAATATGTGCACACTGCTTATAAAATGACTTACCGCACACTGCATGGTACACTCAAGATTAGCCTAAATCTTTCTTCCCTGTTCCAATTCCTTTTGATCAAAGGCTCAGTTCACATTTCTGCATAACAGGATGGCCAAATGGTGGTGGATGAGCCTTACCAATAATGCTGAGTAGACGACCTGAGGGTTGGGGTGGTCCAGAAAGAGGATGAGACCTGGTAAGCAGCCGTTGTCCTGTACTATGGCCCGTCTGTTGAGGGGGTCAGCTGCGAGGTCTCGTAGCTGGTTCACCACAGTCAGCGCATCCAACTCCCCACTCATGGTGCCTTCTCTCCCAGTGCCATGCACATCAAACCAGCCTCTTTACACTGTGTGTATAATAGGATCAAGTCAGATTTAGCTGTACATTACCCAACATATTCATTACAATGGCATCTATTTCAGTGAAAACAGTCTCAAATGCTTTTATTTGTGGCACACTCACTGCATATATTTATATATATATTTTATATTTTAGTCATTTAGCAGACGCTCTTATCCAGAGCGACTTACAGTTAGTTTATTTTTCATACTGGCCCATGACCAAACCAACCAATTGAAAAGACACTGGCAATAAGAAATTATGTATCAATCAATACTGCAATCAGTATGAACATCAGATTGTGATTTGTGAAAAACAATCAATTTGACAGGTCACATGAAAAGCAACACCATTATTCTCTTTGTGTGTATGCCTACTAACACAACTATGTTAAAGCTGGTTTTAAAAAAAATGCTAGTTAGTTACTTTATTCGGACACTTGGCTGAAACATGTAGTGACACATGATAACACAGGTTTAAAGCAATGTAATGACATGGTACAGTTAACGTTACATTAGCAGGCTGTTCTGAAATGGCCCAGTCCATGGTGCAGGTTTTAGACGTGCATAGCAAATAAGGCTCGTTATGGAGGTTATAACTACAACAAAAGCCCAACTTAACCTAACGGACCAAAACAAACATCGAGCTTTTTCTTTACTGATAATTACCCAGGTGTTATTCTGAACAACCAGTCGCACTACTCCGTGCAAACGAAACAGCGTGGCAAGCAAGATCAATAGCTAAAACCAATAGCTAGCTAGCAAACAACAGAGCTAGTTAGCTGGTTAGCGGTCTAGCTAACCAATGTAGCTAGCTAGCTTGTCATTGCCTTTTTTTTTTTTACTCGTTCGCAAGCTAATTGAATGAATGGGTGAAGGTGAAGGGCCCTCCATGTTTATAATCAGAACTGCAAGAATTCCTAACGTTAGCTGGCTACTTCACCTTGCTGCAGCATTGATTGTTGTCCACGCATAACCTCTGAAAACACGCCCAGGACAACCAGAAACACATTACTCTCTGGGCTACAGTAGCTAGTTAGTATTAGCAGAGTATTACCTTTTCTCCAAGTGATCTCCCCTTATTTTAATTGTACAATGACAGCGATTGAGTTAAAATGAAACCGCGAAATAAAGCTGTTTCGGTCATGCAATTTCGTCAAATAGCTAACGTTAGCTAGCTAACGGGTTCATTTTACGAGTCATCGCGGCCTCTGTTTGGAGACAGCTAATTGGACAGTTCCGTTGTGACTGCCAAGACGAAGAGCCATTCAGAGCTCAGTTTTTTTTCTGTCAGACAGGACACTAGGGCCAAAGATGTTTATAACTAACCCAAGATAGACCACAGCCTGTCGTTTCCAATTGGAGCAAATTAATCATAGTGGCCAGAACAAGGAAATAGGTGGGCAGAGCCAAGCACGAGCTATCCAGAGCCTATTGGCACGTTCTAGCATGTGTTGCAACCAGGCCTCAGAGCATTTCGTATTATTCTATACGTAAATCTGCTGTCACGCAATTTAAATCAAAACATATCAAATGTTATTGGTCACATACACGTGTTTAGCAGATTTTATTGCAGGTGTAGCGAAATGCTTGTGCTACCAGCCCCGACAGTGCAGTAATATCTAACAAGTAATATCTAACAATTTCACAATCTATACCAAATACACACAAATCTAAGTAAGGAATGAATTAAGAATATATACATATATGGACGAGCGATGTCAGAGCGGCATGGACTAAGATACAGTAGAATAGTATAGAATACAGTATATACATATGCAATGAGTAATGCACGATATGTAAACATTATTAAAGCGTCTAAGATACCGTAGAATAGTATAGAATACAGTATATACATTTACATTTACATTTACGTCATTTAGCAGACGCTCTTATCCAGAGCGACTTACAAATAGGTGCATTCACCTTATAGCCAGTGGGATAACCACTTTACAATGTTTTTTTTAAAATTATTAATAAATTTTTTTTAGTTTTTTTGGGTGGGTTGGAGTAAAAGGGGGGGGTGGGGGTAGAAGGATTACTTTATCCTATCCCAGGTATTCCTTAAAGAGGTGGGGTTTCAAATGTCTCCGGAAGGTGGTGAGTGACTCCGCTGTCCTGGCGTCGTGAGGGAGCTTGTTCCACCATTGGGGTGCCAGAGCAGCGAACAGTTTTGACTGGGCTGAGCGGGAACTATGCTTCCGCAGAGGTAGGGGAGCCAGCAGGCCAGAGGTGGATGAACGCAGTGCCCTCGTTTGGGTGTAGGGACTGATCAGAGCCTGAAGGTACGGAGGTGCCGTTCCCCTCACAGCTCCGTAGGCAAGCACCATGGTCTTGTAGCAGATGCGAGCTTCAACTGGAAGCCAGTGGAGTGTGCGGAGGAGCTGGGTGACGTGAGAGAACTTGGGAAGGTTGAACACCAGACGGGCTGCGGCATTCTGGATGAGTTGTAGGGGTTTAATGGCACAGGCAGGGAGCCCAGCCAACAGCGAGTTGCAGTAATCCAGACGGGAGATGACAAGTGCCTGGATTAGGACCTGTGCCGCTTCCTGTGTAAGGCAGGGTCGTACTCTCCGAATGTTGTAGAGCATGAACCTACAGGATCGGGTCACCGCCTTGATGTTAGCGGAGAATGACAGGGTGTTGTCCAGGGTCACGCCAAGGCTCTTCGCACTCTGGGAGGAGGACACAACGGAGTTGTCAACCGTGATGGCGAGATCATGGAACGGGCAGTCCTTCCCCGGGAGGAAGAGCAGCTCCGTCTTGCCGAGGTTCAGCTTGAGGTGGTGATCCGTCATCCATACTGATATGTCTGCCAGACATGCAGAGATGCGATTCGCCACCTGGTTATCAGAAGGGGGAAAGGAGAAGATTAGTTGTGTGTCGTCAGCGTAGCAATGATAGGAGAGGCCATGTGAGGATATGACAGTGCCAAGTGACTTGGTGTATAGCGAGAATCGGAGAGGACCTAGAACTGAGCCCTGGGGGACACCAGTGGTGAGAGCACGTGGTGCGGAGACAGCTTCTCGCCACGCCACTTGGTAGGAGCGACCGGTCAGGTAGGACGCAATCCAAGAGTGAGCCGCGCCGAAGATGCCCAGCTCGGAGAGGGTGGAGAGGAGGATCTGATGGTTCAAAGTATCAAAGGCAGCAGACAGGTCTAGAAGGACAAGAGCAGAGGAGAGAGAGTTAGCTTTAGCAGTGCGGAGAGCCTCCGTGACACAGAGAAGAGCAGTCTCAGTTGAATGACCAGTCTTGAAACCTGACTGGTTTGGATCAAGAAGGTCATTCTGAGAGAGATAGCAAGAGAGTTGGCTAAAGACGGCACGCTCAATAGTTTTGGAGAGAAAAGAAAGAAGGGATACTGGTCTGTAGTTGTTGACATCAGAGGGATCGAGTGTTGGTTTTTTGAGAAGGGGTGCAACTCTCGCTCTCTTGAAGACGGAAGGGACATAGCCAGCGGTCAAGGATGAGTTGATCAGCGAGGTGAGGTAAGGGAGAAGGTCACCGGAGATGGTCTGGAGAAGAGAGGAGGGGATAGGGTCAAGCGGGCAGGTTGTTGGGGCGGCCTGCCGTCACAAGTCGCAAGATTTTATCTGGAGAGAGAGGGGAGAAAGAAGTCAAAGCATAGGGTAGGGCAGTGTGAGCAGGACCAGCAGTGTCATTTGACTTAACAAACGAGGATCGGATGTCGTCAACCTTCTTTTCAAAATGGTTGACGAAGTCATCCACAGAGAGGGAGGAGGGGGGGGGGGGGGGGGGATTCAGCAGGGAGGAGAATGTGGCAAAGCGCTTCCTAGGGTTAGAGGCGGATGCTTGGAATTTAGAGTGGTAGAAAGTGGCCTTAGCAGCAGAAACAGATGAAGAGAATGTAGAGAGGAGGGAGTGAAAAAATGCCAGGTCCGCAGGGAGTCTAGTTTTCTTCCATTTCCGCTCGGCTGCCCGGAGCCCTGTTCTGTGAGCTCGCAATGAGTCATCAAGCCACGGAGCTGGAGGGGAGGACCGAGCCGGCCGGGAGGATAGGGGACATAGAGAGTCAAAGGATGCAGAAAGGGAGGAGAGGAGGGTTGAGGAGGCAGAATCAGGAGATTGGAGGGAGAAGGATTGAGCAGAGGGAAGAGATGATAGGATGGAAGAGGAGAGAGTAGCGGGAGAGAGAGAGCGAAGGTTGCGACGGCGCATTACCATCTGTGTAGGGGCAGAGTGAGTAGTGTTGGAGGAGAGGGAGAGAGAAAAGGATACGAAGTAGTGGTCGGAGACTTGGAGGGGAGTTGCAGTGAGATTAGTAGAAGAACAGCATCTAGTGAAGATGAGGTCAATCATATTGCCTGCCTTGTGAGTAGGGGGGGACGGTGAGAGGGTGAGGTCAAAAGAGGAGAGGAGTGGAAAGAAGGAGGCAGAGAGAAATGAGTCAAATGTAGACGTAGGGAGGTTGAAATCCCCCAGAACTGTGAGGGGTGAGCCATCCTCAGGAAAGGAACTTATCAAGGCGTCAAGCTCATTGATGAACTCTCCAAGGGAACCTGGAGGGCGATAGATGACAAGGATATTAAGCTTAAATGGGCTAGTGACTGTGACAGCATGGGATTCAAATGAGGAGATAGACAGATGGGTCAGGGGAAAAATTGAGAATGTCCACTTGGGAGAGATGAGGATTCCTGTGCCACCACCCCGCTGACCAGATGCTCTCAGGGTATGCGAGAACACATGGTCAGACGAGGAGAGAGCAGCAGGAGTAGCAGTGTTTTCAGTGGTTTTCAGTACATATGAGAGGAGTAATGCAAGATATGTAAACATTATTAAAGTGGATAGTGTTCCATTTCTTAAAGTAGCCAGTGATTTGTAGTCTATGTCTACAGGCAGCAGCCTCTAATGTGCTAGTGATGGCTGTTTAACTGTCTGATGGCCTTGAGATAGAAGCTGTTTTTCAGTCTCTCAGTCCCAGCTTTGATGTACCTGTACTGACCTCGCTTTTTGGATGATAGCGGGGTGAACAGGCAGTGGCTCGGGTGGTTGATGTCCTTGATGATCTTTTTGGCCTTCCTGTGACATCGGGTGCTGTAGGTGTCC